TCACAAGGCTTGGCCCTCTCTTTGCATGGATCCCCTGCCATCATTGCCACCGTCACCCTGACAACCTTCAAGAGCACTACGTCCTCTGCAGAGCTCTGACCCATGAACAGATGCAGATCCTACTGCAGCTCCTCCCAGGACACAGAGGCCCAGGCTTGGCTAATTTTACTTCACTGCAAAGAGGGAAACAAACACTAAGAAGGCTGCAAATCCAGACCCCTGGCACAAGACAGAGGACACAAGGCCAGTTTTAGCAGGTGGTCAGCTACAGGTCCGCCTCTTCCCTGCTTCCTAAAACAATCTCTCATCTCCACAAACTAGAGATGCCTCAAAGCACAGCATGAGATCTCAAAGCTCAGGAAAAAAACAGAGATATAGGGACCAGCAGATGGTGTAATGGTTATGCTGCTGGACTCCCATATGCTGATTATGGTTCAAGCCTCAGACCTGGAGCCTTGAAACTTGTGCTGGGTGTATCTGCATGCATGCCCAGAATCCTGAGAGGAGAATGGAGGAGGAGGGATTGTAGCATGGCCATCCCCTCGGGGGGGGGGGTCGGGGAGTGATTTCTTGCTTTCTGTCTCTCTGTCTCCAATGAGTGCACATGCCGAATAGCAAAAATCTCTCCCACCAACAACAAAAAAGAATAACAGGAGAAGGGATTGCGGCGTGGCCATCCCCCCCTGGGGAGTGATTTCTTGCTTTCTGTCTCTCTGTCTCCAACAAGTGCACATGCCGAATAGCAAAATCTCTCAAAAACAAATAAGTAAAAACAAACAAAGAAAAAGAGAGATGTAGCTCCCCCTTCTACCAACACGGGCCTGTCTTACGCTTTGAGGACTATCTTCTCCCCTGAACAACTGAGAACTAGGGTGTCCCTTCAGCCAATTTCTACCTACACCTGCAGAATGAGGTGACCTTGACCACCTACTCAGAATTACAATCTCAGAGTACAGCCAAGAAGATAAAACCCAAGCAAGAGCAAGATGAACACATCTTTCACCCCAGGTTCGTTTTCTGGGTTCAGAGCCTTCCTTGTTCTTTCTCTTGCTACAGCTGAACCCCTGAGAAGCCCCACTCTGACCATTAGTAAATGATGCTACCAAGTGAACTCTTAGTTCAAGCTTAGGGGATAGGAGGAAAGTCAGAAAGTCAGAAAGCCAGAGGCTACAAGAAGTGTGGGTATTGTCTCAGGGGGCCTATGTTCTTTCTGAGAAGACAAGACCAACCAACGGAAAAAAAGAAAAAAAGTGGGAAACTATAGCCTCAGCAGACGAAGCCTTGAACCAGGTCTGAAAGGCAGGAGGCAGAAGAACCAGGGCCTGGGATGTCCTGTGTGCAGCTGGGTAAGGTCAGCTGCATGCTGGGAAAGCTAGAGTCTTGCTCATGGAGGGGTTTATTGTGCTGTGAAATGGGCCCACTGCCCTGGGGCATCACTGGTGTCTGCAACAGGTCCCTTACGAGCCCTTGGACGAAAAGAAAGGCTCTAGCTGTAAACACGGCCCCTTGCTTCAAGACAGCTGGCTGGGCGACGCTAAGCTGACTGCATCGAGGGCCAGCTGACGCGCTGAATGGAAGTGCTCAGAGGGAGTCAGAAGGCTCCTGTGTGTGATGGATTGCTTTTACAGTGCTGCAATCCCCTCCTGCCTGAAGGGAAATGACTTAGAACAGGTACAAGAATTCAAGCTGCCAAACTGCGTTTGCTTGGTGACTTGCATTGCTGGTGAAAATTCAGCTCAGGAGGGGCCTCTGTTCTTCTGAGGAATTGTGGGGAAGTACATCTGGCACATGCATGTAGACCCTCTTAGCTGGGTCTGAGCGCTTTGAGGCTCATGGCAGCTCCTCACTCTGGCCTCAAAATTTCAGCCATCTACCTACACTAACTCACTCCGATCTTGCTTCCCGTATCTGTACAGTCACACTTGTCCTGCAAGACAAACCACTTTCCTTACGCTGTTTACCCATGCCTTGCACAGTCTCATGCTTTGTTTGTCTCTCATTTACACAGTGCGAGTTTCATCCTACATCTGCTTCGAGAAAGCTCAACTCTTCCCCTTAGAGTGTCTGATGGCCTCTCCCAGTAAGGACAGCCTGCTTCATCCACAGTTAGCAAAGAAAGCAGCAAAGCATGGCTCAGCCTGGTCAGCTCTACCACACTGGGAAAAGGGCCCAGACACACATCTGGGACCAGCTGTGGTCAACTGAGAGAACAGGTTCCAAGACGGGAGGATCTGAGGTGAGGGCTGCCTGAATGGAGGAACAAAGTGGACTAGTGTGCAGGAAGGACAGGTCTGGGGCCAGGGCAGAAACAGCAGAAGGCACTGTGACCTCTGCAACACATCTCAGAGGGCCTGGAGGGTGTGCCTAGTGGAAACCCACTGGGGTAATGACAGAGAGGGACTTACTGGCTGACCACAGTCAGCAAGCTGGAGGGAGCAGAGTAGCAATGCAGAATCAAGTGTCAGCTTCTGTCACCACAGGCTGGCAGTGTAGGCAGGGAAGCCACCATGAAAGAGTCAATTCTGATGTCACTTTGCCTGGGATGATGGACTGATGCATAGCATTGCCACTTCCTTTTTCTTTGCAATACTGAAAAGTATTTTTTTTTTTTTTAATCAAGGTCTTGGTGACCACTCATCCTGTCATTCCTTGCTGAGTGGCTGCATCGTGCCTGGCCCTATCACAGGCTCTGGAGCCACAACAGAAAATGGATACCATCCTCACCCTCCAGGAGCTTGCTGTTTGGAGCTGCAGATCGTATTGTGCACTGTAGAATAGGTGCTCAACACATTCTTCACACACAGAATTAAACATTATGACTGGTTTTTTCTTTGCATGCTTTTAACACTACATTTGCATACATTAAACAAGTACAGACTCTGCTAGGAAATTGCATTTAAATATAGAGGTAAACATGCAATCCCAAATCTGTAGGTACCTCATCTGTCAAAGACAAAAAAAAAAAAAAATGGAGTCATTCTCCAGATACGGCTTTGTGTTTTGCTTTTGCCACCTAAAATCCCATTGTGAGCACATTCCATGCTTAGAAATTTTATGCATTCTTTCCAGGCCTTTCTTTTCAAAGGCCAGGCCTTCAGCAGAGCTAATCCTTGAAAATTAAAACAAGGTGGGTTCTTCTTTAATCAGAGAGCTTTCAGTCATTTATTTATTCATTTAGTGACTTTTTCTTGAGTACCGATCATTGGAGGCAGACCCTGTGCTAAGTCTGTGAAATTCAGTGGTAAGCAAGTCAGAAGCCTTCCCTCAAGCTTCTTAGATCTGGCAAATTATACCCAACCAGAACTCAGGCTCTCTGAGTTGGGAAGACACAGTCTTCCACTCTGACTTGTCCCTTTTTCCATGTCACTAACTCGATTCTAAACAGACCAACATGAAGATGATTCTATTGGGTTGTTGAAAAGCCATGATGTATTTTTTTTCCTATGTTTTCCTATGCAAAAATGCGTCATGACTTCTCTGACAACCCAATATTTTCTTCTCTACCTCTCATGTGTTTTACCTGTGACTCTTTTATTTAGCATTTCATCCTTACTTTGCTCAAAGACAAACAACTCTGGCTCTCTCCAGATGTGCATTTAATGACCTCTTCCCATCTTTCTGGCTTCAAGTACAAGGGAGAGGAAGCTCTCGAGCCCTTGAGAGCTGCTTTTGGAGGACAGTGTTCCAGGTGGCTCTTTCAGCACATGTGCCCTTGCTTGGGAACATAAGGTCCTTCAATCTGACCCTGATGAATGAGATCAGAAATGAATGTCTGACTAAAGGGAAACCATTCAAAGTCTGACCAGGGACCTGTTTAGTGACTTAGTACCAGTCTGCACAATAGCAATTTGAGTGAATAACACAAACTCTCTCCAGAGGAATTTCAAAATGAAAAACACAAGAGAGAGAGGAGGAACATAATAGGGAGAAAGAAGCTTAAAGATATTACGAGTGCCAAGGAAACAGAAGTCACAAAGGATGCTTCCACGGAGCACCATGAGTTAGGACCAAGCAGTAGCCTGCAGCATTGTCAACACGTGAAATAAAGATGGAGTACTTAGACAGCCAAAACAGTGGCACAAAGGTAAGTCTAGCATTCTGTTCAGCCACCAGACTTATTGGTGTCTCCAAAGCTATTACTATTCCACAAGGCATCTAATTCTCTTTTAAGATTGATCTATACAGCCATCCTTATTTCCTCTTAGCTCAGTGATAAACCCCACCACCTAAGGTTGCAATTCTTGAACATGCAATCCCAAATCTATAGGAACCTCATTTGTCAAAGACAAAAAAAACTGAGGCCAGTCTCCAGACATTTGCTCTGTCTCTGCACCCTGAAAGATCTAAACCGGCACAAAATCACCTGCATTGAAAGCAACTGCATCTCATTCTCAGAGGCAACATTTTAGAAACTCCTTAATCCAGCAGCTGAACTCTGGATCTCCCACTCTGGCTGTCTGTACTCTGTGTGAGCACCAGGAATACCATGACCTTCCTCAGCTGTTGAGCAGTGATGCGAAACTTGAAAGACATCAGCTAGACTCACTCAATCCTTTGGATAAAGTGAGTAGACTCACTGGCAATTTCTCTTGAGTATCATGAGATACAATTGATTCAAGATATCATAGATCTGAGAAAGGATCATTGTACAAATTAGGCACATGACATTAGATGGGTTGCCTTGGACATTCTCAGCTGTAAAATGGGGATGATATATCACGTAAGAGTTGTGACATTTAAACAAGTTACTCTATTTCTTGCAGCGAAGTGACTATACTTAAAAATTTTTCTAGTTATATGCTATAATAAGCTGTAAAATGGGGATGATATATCACGTAAGAGTTGTGACATTTAAACAAGTTACTCTATTTCTTGCAGCAAAATGACTGTACTTAAAATTTTTTTCTAGTTATATACTATAATAATTTGACAAGTTCGATACCTCCTAAACATCAGGCCAAGCTGCTTTCACATCACAGAATTGGTAAAACCAGACCCACCTTGCCATCCAGGCTTGCAAACTGGCTTCACGTCCACCTGCACCAGGGTGTCCTGAGCAGCAGGTTTCTGTCCACAGTCGTAAGCAGTCACCAGGATTTCATACTGGTGTTGCTTGTCATAGCTCAGCTTCTCGGTGTTCCTGATGTTGCCTGAGGAACAGGGATGTTCACAATCATTTCAGGCCAACTTAACCACCCTGCACTTCTTCACAATCCCTTCTCCACTCACCAACCTCTACAAAAATGAAATATGGCTTTCCCCCATGTCTTCGTAAAACAAGTGGTGACCAGGACCACCGTTTCCACCTATGGCCTGCTTGTGCTTTGCTGGTTGGTTCCCAAGAACCACTGACTGAGCCCCCCTGACTGTGTAACAGGGGTGCTAGGGAATTCCACACATCTGGAATCCAGCAGCTTGGATTTCTAAGTAATGGGTTGCCAGTAAACTCCCTCCTAAAGTGAACCCACGTGGCTGTGTCCCTGATGGAGGGCACAGAGAGATCGTCTGCCATGAAATCTCTGAGAGAAAGATGGAATTCAGAAAATGTCCTGACACATATTTTTTAACATCTGGGCTTGTTGCCAGGAATGTTCACTGCCTCTTCTCACATTATTTTGCTACCAAATAGGAAGTAAAATCAATAAGAAAATGTGTGACCTCCCTTCTGAAAGCTACACAGAATAACAGATCCCTTACTCTGAAGCTGTTTTTCTTCTCTAAGGGAGACCAAACAATTTTTTTTTTTTCTGAGCCATTTGTGAGATTGTACTCTCATAGGTTTGATATTATGATTTATAAATACATATTTGGTGGGTAATGAGAAAAATTTTAATTGACTGTTTTGCTGAAATATAATGTTGGTTCCAAAAGACTCAGAAAAGACCCACAATAAACATAACACTCTTAAGTTTTGAATTTCAAAAGATAAAACTTTTCCTTTGCTGGGCCCAGCAGTTGGCATAGTGGCTATGTCACTGGACTCCCATGTAGTTGACCATGGTTCAAGTCCCGGACCCGGCAGCTTAAACTCACTGGGCTCGTGTGCGTGTGTGCCCAAGATCCTGAGAGGAGAATGGAGGAGAAGGGATTGTGGTGTGGCCATTCCCCCTGGGGCGGGGGGGGGTGATTTCTCACTTTCTGTTTCTCTGTGTCTGTCTTTCTGGCTAGCACACACGCCCTATAACAAAAACCTTTCCAAAAAAACCCACAACTTTTCCTTTGCTGAGAATAATCTCATTTCTGCTGTGTGTTTTGGTTTTGGTTTTATGGTGAAAGTGATAGAAAATTCAAATGTAAATGGTGTCATTTTTTTTTTCAGAAGTAAAGTTAAAAAACCAGAAATTAAAAAAAAAGAAAATAGAACCCAGCCATGATGGCACAGGTGGGAGGAGTGCTACCATGTGTTACTGAAGGCCATATAAGAGGGCTCTGGGTTTGCATTCTGGGCCTACCTGAACATGCTTGGTAGGCCTGTGGGCATGCCTGTGATCCAGGCTGGCTGCAGGGCTTGAGAGAAGATTGTGGCATGTAGACCTTTTTGAGAGTGATTCCTCTTTCTCCATCAGGAAACACATAAATGAAAACTTTTTAAAAATACAAAGGCTGGGGCCAGTTTATGGCATAGTGGTTACGGTGATGGATCCCATGTGGTGAACTGCAATTCGAGTTCTGGACCCATTGGCTTGAAATGCACACTCGGTATGTGTGCATGCATGCCCAAAACCCTAAGAGGAGAATAGAGGAGAAGGGATTGCAGCATGGTCATCTCACTTGAGGAGGTAATTTCTCACAGTCTCTCTCTCTCTGCCTCTCTCTGCTGAGTGCACACATCCTATGGCAAAAATGTGAAAAGATCCAAAAGCCAAAAACCAAGCCAATCAACCAACAAACATGGAATGACTTACTCAGGTTTATTTTTATACTTCATTAAAACGAAAGGAAAATTACACAAGTGAGCTTCCTTCCACTTTAAATCATGTCCATTGTTCGTATGAATTGAGACAACATGGACTAAGGCAAGAAATCCTGGAAAATTAGAAAAGCCAAGTAATTTTTTAAAGATTAGAAAAATTGATCCACCAAAAATCTAGTTTTTAAAAAAAATATATTTAAATTTACATTTAATCACTGAATAATCTATTTTTAGTGAAACAGTACTCAGTACCCAGCCATGAGCAGGTGCTACAAACATGAGCATGTCAAGGGGAGAAGTGGTTGATGGCAAAGAGGAAAAATGAAATCTGCTATCTGCTTGAGAGTATGTCTCAAAATAAAACTTCACCCACTGATTCGAGGTGGAATTTAGTTTAATAAAGTCAGGCAAAAATATCTAAATAAAAATAGATTTGATATATTTCTGACTTTGGGGCTGGAATTTAGAATCTCTTTCAGTTTTTCCCCAAATATTTGTTCCCCTCTCACTTCTGGAGCCTACACAGGTCTAGAATGGCTCAGTTTTGAGTTGGTAACACTCCCCATGGATTCTATTAACAAACTTGTTTGTGGTTATACTCAGCACAGGGGAGGAATTCTGTCAGGTGGAACCACTTCAATATAACCATGAGAAGTGCGCTTCCACAACATCAAATTAAATTTTGAACAAAAAGTTTTAACTTTCTCTTCCTTTAAATAGCTCTCAAAAGATATGCCTCATAGAAGAGGATGGCTTGGAGTTTACAGACCATATGACATTAAGCAGACCAAACACTACTGATTATGGTAGGAAAATAAACATACAAGCTGAATTCTGCGTCCAATTTGTTGCAGCTCCACTTCTATAACACGTCTTAATGAAATTATCTGAGAAACTAATTTACTTTCTCTACCATCACCAATTCCATGCATATAAAAATGGGTATTGGCACAGAATCTGAAGTGTTAGGGAAAAAAATGAGAGTGACCAATTATTACATGAGAGAGTAATTTTTGGGTAAGACACACATTTAACATTTTTTTGAAAGCTAAGAAAACGTTACCCATTTTGTTTCAGTTATAAACTAAAATTTTTCTCCCATATTTGAGTAATTTTTCCTAATAGTGCCTTCTTAGGAGACTAGAGCTCACAGTTACTCAAAATAGCTGAAGTCCCAGGGCCTATTTCTCTAGAACTAAATGAACCCAGGAAGTTAACCTTAAAGACCAGCCAGCACCTGACATCTATATTAATTGAAGTATTTTTTAGAATATCTTTTTCTGACTCAGGAGCAGTAGGAATCTGGGTGGGCAATAGATAGGCTCACTGACTGGTACCCTCCTTCTGATATAATTTAAATGGGAACAGTGTTTCTGGAAAACTATTTGATAATATATGCCCCAAATTTTAAAATTGCTCATAACTCATCAGCATGCAATTCCTTATGTAAAAATTAATTTTAACTAATGATTAAAAATGTGGATATGGGACTAGCAGTTGGCATAATGGTTGTGTCGCTGGACTCCCATGTAGTCGACCATGGTTCGAGTCCCGGATCCGGTGGCTTAAACTCATGTTGGGTGTGTGTGCGTGCGTGCCCAAGATCCCAAGAGGAGAATGGAGGAGAAGGGATTGCGGCATGGCCATCCCCCTGGGGGGTGATTTCTGGCTTTCTGTCTCTCTGTATCCCTTTGTCTTTCTGGCAAGCGCATGCACCCTATAGCAAAACCCTCTAATAAAATGTGGATATGTGTGCAAATATGTTCATTTAAGTATTAGGGGGACTCCTCATTTAATGACGAAGTTCTGTTCATACAACTAGGTCAACTGCAGACATTGGTAAGTGAGAGCTTATTTTTCTACAGGTATCACATCATACCACACTAGAATAATGTAATTATATCCATACTATCCATACTGAAAGCATACATAACACCAGGAAGTGACAAGACACATGATAATATAAATCTGGTGTACTTGCTCTTATTCATTCTGCATACTACTATGGATGTGTCATAAGGTACAAATTTATAAATGAAATATGTAGTCTTGTGTGATTTTTAATACTTCATGTAATAAATTCTAATCAACTGCAGAAATGAGACAAAGACGGAGAAAAAGGGGACTCCATATGCTGGAGAACTGGTCATAAATTGAAGTGGTTGTTAAACAGGTAGGTCATTAACTGAGGACAGACCGTATTTATTACATTGAAAAGTAGTGTGATAGTAAGAGAAGACTGAAGAGTTTATTTTTAAGATGGAATATTGTTCTACAGTAGAACTGGAGATGATAAAGATGGGGAAAATACATATAATACAATGTTAAGAAAAAAAAAGAAAGACAAAGAAAGGCAAGAGTAGTGTAATATTTAAAAATTTTTAGAAAAACTACTGGAAATAGGGTAAGTTGTTAAATCTTTGGCAGGGTTACAGGTGACATTTTTCCTTCTTCACATTTTTCTGTGCTTTCCAAATTAGGGCATGCATTACTTTTCTACTTACACAGGAAAGACGTGTTTTTATTTTAAGAGTAAATAGATGTTAGGACACACTGTTCAGAAGCATCAGAGTCCTATTATTCATTCGGACAGATTTCTGACAAAGAACCTAGTTGAGGCTGTACACACCAAACAGCTGCTACAAAAGTAGAAAAATTTGGGAAGTGGTAATGAGAGGTGTCATTGAAACCCCTGCTGTTACCTCTGCTGCTATATCCTAACATGGCTGAGTGATTGGTTTATGCAAGACACTCTGCTGTCTTGTTTGCATTGGTTTAGACAATAATCATATTACACAAATATAAACCTCCTATTTTTCTTTAAAATTTTGCCAGAAGGAGACAGACAGAGACAAAGAGAGAGAGAAAATGTGGAAAAACAGCTCCTGATGGGAAATGGTCATGCTACACTCCCTTCTTTTCTCCCACTTTTTGGGATTTGGGGCACACATGCCCATGTACCCAGTGTGTTCCTCAAGCTGCCAAGTCTAGGACTCAAACCATGCAGTTGGCCATGTGGGATCTAGTCACTTTAACCACCATGCCATGGTTCACAGATACAACATGCAAATTCCATTTTGTTGATCAGGATCAGTAAGTAATGTTGTATAATGTCTCTAAGCTTCATCCAAGTCATTTCAAATGGCAGGATTTTCTTCTTTTTAAAGGCTAAATATTCCACTGTGTGTGTAACTTGCCACCTCTCAATACACACAGAGTGGTAGTTGTAGCATTAAG